CGCAGGGGGCAGGCTCCGGACGCGCGCCAGCGGACGGCTCTCCGAACGCGCGAGGTCGACGCGCGCTACCCGCGGGCCTTGAGCGCGCGCCTGGTCTCTCCTGTCCTGCGGGCGCGCGACATCGCCAGGCCAGGATGGCCCCTGAGACCCCAGCCCAGGGGCCGACCCCGCGCTACTTCACCTGGGACGAAGTGGCACAGCGCTCCGGGCGCGACAAGGAGCGGTGGCTGGTGATTGAGAGGAAGGTGTACAACATCAGCGAGTTCACCCGCCGGCACCCCGGGGGCTCCCGGGTTATCAGCCATTACGCCGGGCAGGATGCTACGGTGAGCGATGCCCGACGGGCACAGGGGAGGAGGCGGGGCCCGGCGGCCGCGGCCGGAGGCTCGGTGCGCGACACAGGAAGTTTGGCGCCCACAGCCGAACCAACTAATTCGGGGGGGAAAGCGGAGGTGCCCGAGCATACCTGTTGCCCAGGGATTGGGTGTGCTGTGGACACGAAATGCAAGCGCCGGAGAGGCTGTGAAAATGAGTCGGGAGAGGGATGGAGGCCGACAGCGCACAGACACAAAGGGGCCGCGCGGCCCCGCGTGCGTTCCGGCTGTGGCGGCGGGTCTGCGGTCTAAAGGTGTGGGCCGGTCCTGAGCAGGGCTCGGAGGGAGGAGATCGGGGTTGCAGGGCGCTGGGACAGCGGTGCTGCCGCGGCCGAGGGAGGGGAGAGGTCTGTGGCAGAGGGGTCGGCGGTGCTTGGGAGGGGAGCGCCGCCGCGTCTGGACTGAGGGTGCTGGCCTGCACTCGCGAGCGGAAGCAGGAGCGGGACCCACCCTCGGGGAAAGGGCTGAGGAGGGAAGCCATCTGGCGCCCGCTGTCTCGGGAACCCCCGCACGGGGTGAAGGCGGGAGGGTGGGGAAGGGAGCCGATCCGGCCCGAGAGGGCTAGCGGCTGCTCGTGCACCGGGGAGAATGGGAGTGGCGTGCTGAAGGCGGGAGAGGGGGGGGCTTCAGGCCAGCGGGGTCCCCAGCTAATCCCTGCAGCGGACAGCTTTTTGTATTCCCAGCGGTAGTCGCAACCTTCCTTCCCTCCGGCCGCCCAGCGTGGTCAGCGCGCCCCCGCCCCGGTCCTTCTGCTTCCCTTTCTAGACCACCTGGCTGTCGAGCTAAAGCACCTGGCGCCTCCCTGCTGGGTTGGAAAGCTAGGGATCACCCCTTGGGACCCAGAGGTTGGAGCGTTCGCTTCGCCTCCTGCCTGCCCTTCCCCGACATCCTTCCATCCTGTGCCCAGCAGCTTGACCTCTTCCGCTGTCCCCACCCTCCGCCCTTGCCATCACGAAGCGCGCTTCGGGCCATCAGGGTTTCCGTTATGTCGCAGGGGAGCGCAGGCCTTTCAAGGTGAGGGCCCGCCTTTCCTTCGCCGCGGGCCTGGGGGACGACGCCAGAGCTCGCGCTCGTCACCCGGAGCGACTATGCTGGAGCTCAGACCTTGGCCCTAGGCCAAGGCCGGACCCGCGCCTGCGCAGAAGGAGCCGACTTTAAAGCTAGGACCTCAGGCGGAGTGATTCGAAGCTCTAGCGCCTCGGCTGGGACAGCGATTGGTCCGGCTGTGTGGTGCCACTGGCCGCCGGCTCCACCCCGGTGCCCACCTCTCTGGCAGATTTCCCACGGGCCTGGGGCCTCCGGACCAAGCGAAGGCTCTTACCGTCAGGGACCCCACTTCGAATAATCAAAATTAGCAGCCCTGGAGCAGGGTGTGGTCAAAGTGCCAGGGAAATACGGAAGGCCACCCGGAACAGCATGCTGGGGGAAGGAGGAGAAATGCAGAAGTTCCCCAGTTCTGATAGGGGGAGCCTCATCACATTTTATTGAGAATGCTGGCACAGAGGGGCTCAAGTTCCATAGAAAAAGAGAATTCTCCCAGCCCCACACATCCCTTATGTTTCTCACCAATACCTAAATTCATGCGTAAAAGTTGTCCCTAGAAATGCCCAGAGGAAAGGCCAGCCCAGGGAGGTCTTTCAGTGGTCCCTCCACCTGTGCTTCCTATTGGTTGGTGTGGTACCTTTCTTACTAGACTACAAATGCTGGGTGATCCTGAGCTATGGAAACCTAGAAAAGGTCTGAGCACCCTCAAAGGGCAGCTGGCTGGAGGCAAGTGGTGTCTGTTTGAACTTCAGTACAACCTCTTGCTGGATCAGGAGGATTACCTTTGGTGGGAGCCCTCCAAGAGACCAGGGGGCCTGGGCTGGCTTTCTCACTGTTTTGCCTTCTCTCCATCCTTGCAGGATCCCTTTGTGGCATTTCACATCAACAAGGGCCTTGTGAGGAAGTACATGAACTCTCTCTTGATTGGAGAACTGTCTCCGGAACAGCCCAGCTTTGAGCCCACTAAGAATGTGAGACCCTGTTTGCTGTTTGGGGACCCTGTGGTTGTTGAGGGGCAGGGGGTAGAAGGAAGGCCTAGACAGGATCACAGGTAACTACAGTCAGTGGTTCTTGGGAGTTCTGATTCTTCTGTATAGTCACTGGGTCACAGGTCTAAGGGTGTGGGGCTTTGGAATCCATAGTTCTCACAAGGCCACCACCATTACCATAATCATCATCATGAGACCTATCTTGAGCACGTACTGGGTGCCAAGCATAATCTCATATAATCCTCAAACATTTACAGGTGAGAATACTGAGGCTCAGAGAAGTTAAGCAACGTGGCCAAGGATCATACTGTTAGTAAAGGGCAGAGCAGGGTCTTGAAAAGTCTAACTTCCAATGACCATGTGCTCTTGGGCATGATCCCATAGCACCTCCCCCTGCCATCCTTCCTCAATCTTGTGGTATTTTTATGTAGGACTGTGGACTTCCTACTGCTACCTCAGTGGACTTCCACTGCTACCTCGGTGGGATGTCCCTGAGCACAAGCGGGCCCTGCTCACTAGCAGTGTCATTTTGCAGCTGGAGGGAATAACAACTTCTCCCTCTTTACTCTTTCTCAGAAAGAGCTGACCGATGAGTTCCGGGAGCTGCGGGCCACAGTGGAACAGATGGGGCTCATGAAGGCCAACCATGTCTTCTTCCTGCTGTACCTGCTACACATCCTGCTACTGGATGCTGCTGCCTGGCTCACACTATGGGTCTTTGGGACATCCTTTGTGCCCTTCCTCCTTTGTGCACTGCTGCTCAGCGCAGCTCAGGTGAGACACCTTGGCTTGTCAAGAGCACAGCATCCCTAGGGAAAGCTCTTTGTATCCCTCAGGAGGCCAAGATGCCGTCCCCTCTGATGGGCAGAGCTGAGGACATGTGGGAGAGCTGGTGCAAAAAGAGAACACACATTCCATTGTTTGTGGCTTTTGCCTGCTCACTAGCCACTTGTACACATTCATTTCTCTCACTGCCTCTCCAGATGCTTCTCCCAGGGTTCCCTTCTTCCTGTGGAATTTCTCCTCTGAAACTTCACATTTCTTCAAGTGTGCAAAGAAACAGGATTCTGGTTTATCAGCAAAGCTTGGCTTCCTCCCCACCACAAGACCGCCCAACATGCCAATAATGCCTGGGTTCTAATATTTAGCTGTCTGAATCCATCTGCCAAGCCTCTGAGTTTGTTACTTTCTGTCCTTTCCTGTGGTCTGATGTTTAGTCCATTGTAAGTCACAAATCTTCAGAGCTAGGGAAACTAACAGACAGGGAAGGGAAAGTGCTTTGACCCAATTTTCACGTGAATTAGTGCCAGAGCCAGAGTTAGGGCCAGACTTCCCAACTCCTTTCCTGATATACTCAGTTAGGGTACTGCAATTATCATAGGCCTAGATGGGTGAGGTCGAGAGGCTGAAGCAGCTGCTGAGGTCAGTGAGAGGGACACTGGGCTGGTGGGCTGCTCTCAGCACTAACCTTTCTCATCCAGGCCCAGGCTGGCTGGCTGCAGCATGACTTTGGGCACCTGTCTGTCTTCAGCACCTCTACGTGGAACCACCTGCTACATCATTTTGTGATTGGCCACCTGAAGGTCAGTGGGATTGGGAGGGGCTTTCTGAAACCCTGGCTAATGAAGGACTACCTGGGGGGAAGGGGGCCACCAGGCTTTCATACTCATGTCCTCGCTTTTCTGTAGGGGGCCCCTGCCAGTTGGTGGAACCACATGCACTTCCAGCACCATGCCAAGCCTAACTGCTTCCGCAAAGACCCAGACATCAACATGCACCCCTTCTTTTTTGCCTTGGGGAAGATCCTCTCTGTGGAGGTGAGCAGAGGTATCAGTGGAAAGGTCTTGGAGAATGGAAATCTGCCAGCACAGAGGGCTTTGGGGGAAATGTTCACAATGCTGTCAGTGGGGGAAGACATTGGGGGCTGGCTACCTGGCTGTTTGGAAGTTGTGAGGCAACAGGCAGTAAACGGGCTGCCCAGGACAGAATCACCTGTCCTCCCTAGTGAGTTCAAATCAGCAAAATAGTTATTGTATAAAGGTACCACATGCTGCTAAGGAACCAAAGGGCTCCTCCTTGAAGGTGATCGATGGCCCTTGTCAGGTGCTTTTTTGACATTCCTCCCCCAGGCAGCCATCCCTCTGCCCCACACACTATTCCTCTCTCTTACCCTTTGATGTCCTACTGTGTCACAGTCTTCCCCATTAAGGGCTTGACTGTCTTACTCTTCTTTGACACCCAGTGCCTGGAACATTCATTCACCAAGTAATTCTTCCCACCCACCTGATCCCAGTCTCACTTCCAGGGTGTCAGTGTTGGGTTTGAGTTGTCATCTGAGGTTGTGAGCAAAAATCGTAACGCAGCTGCTAAAGGAAGAGTGCCTTAGGGTAGAGATCTGGTGAGCTTTTAGTGAGCATAATGAAACAGAAGGCTTTGAATGGTCAGCAGAGTTCTGTGAAGAGTTAATGTAGCCCTGATTGGGTGACTTAGTTGGAGGATTGTCCTGTATGCCAAGAGGTTGAGGGTTCATTCCCCAATTGGGGTGCGTATAGGAGGCAACTAATCAATGTTTCTCTCTCTCTCTCCATTCCTCTTTCTAAAAATCCATTAAAAAAATATCCTTGGGTGAGATTTAAACAAAGAAGTGAATGTAAAAGCCTTTGTCCTGAGGCTCTAAGCTGCAGTCAGAGTTCTGCCAGGTCTCCTTCCACCACTTTATGGTATTTCAGCCTGCCAAGAATTGTTAAACACATTTCAGTTCCAGGTGTGAGTTCAAGGTGGCCTGACTCTCCTCTCCCCTCTGGCCATGAGAAGAACTCTGTGCAAAGGCTTTGGCAGCACTGGCTGTCCTGGGACTAGGAGCCCCTAGCATGAAGCTTGTGTTTCACCTGTCCGTAATGTCCTAATTTTCCCACCTCCTAAACAGTTACCTATTTGGTTTGCTACATGCCCAACACTGTGTTCTAGTCAACATTGTGTGGATGATGAACCAGCCCTGGCCCCCACCCGGCTCAGGTGGCTACTTTGAGAGCATTGTGGGTTATTTCTTGGGCAGAGCATGGAGCTCTTGGTAGCACTTTTGTTGTCACTGTAGACAGTTAAAAAAAATGGGAGTCTAAGTGGAAGGGAACCTTCTCACACTACTGCCTGTATTGCTTCTTGGCACTAGGGTTTTAGAAAATTTCTGTCCTTAAACACTAAAAATAGAGAATGATCTGGGACCAAAAATAGCCCCCCCTTTTTTTGGCCTAGTTATGAGGTTGAAGATAGGCTGCCGGTTAGTATGTTAGTAAATGCCTGGGCTCCAGGCTGCTTGGGGCTTGGTTCATCCCCTCTGGGTATAGTTTACCTGGGCATTGATCCCTGTGCTGATCCACCTCAGTGCCTCCCAATTCTCTTAGAGGACAAGAGGTACAGGGGACACTTCCTCCTAAATATAACTCTTCTGGCTTCTGACATTCAAAGCACAATGGGGCAGTTATTAGGGTTACAGTGGCATGTGATTGCCATTCAGTGGACAGGGCTCCCTTATAACTGTTCCAAATTAGGAAACGAGTTCTGCCCCACCCACCCAGCAAATAAGAGATGCTCCTCTTCTAGTTTCCCCCCTCAGTTAATGTTGCTTAGGGTGGGATGATCTTCATCCCCACATCAGCAAGCTGTGTTAATAATGCTTCTAAAAACACCTCAAATCCGTCGACTTCTCCAGTTCCACCGCTTCCCCTTCCCAGGTGTTGTCCATTTAGGGTCTAGATCATTGTTCCAGCCTCCTCACTGGTCTCCCTACGACTATACCTGCCCCCTACAGTTCATTTTCTCACTGCCAGCCAGAGAGCCTTTTAAAGCACAAAGCAGATCATGGCACAACCATTGAAAGCCCCCCAGTGGCTTCCCATCTCCATTGGAATAAAATCCAAACTCCTTTCCATGGGCTTACCAGGGCTTTCTAAGGTCTGGCATGATTTGGCCATCCCTAGTTTTCTGGCCTTTTCAACTATTCTCCATTTTGTCTACTGTTCCCAGTCACACTGACCTTATTTCTGTCCCTTGAATATCTCAAGCCTTAGTACTGGCTGTTTTCTCTGCTGTAAATGCTTCTCTGAATTTTTACATTGCTGGCTCCTCATCATTCAGTTCTCAGTTCAGAGGTCAGCATCTCAGGGAGGCCATATCTGACCACCCCAGCCAAAACACCACCTCCCTCACTTTCTGTTACATTTTCTTATTTTTAATCTATAACTACCTTGAGCCCTGTTTAAAGATTTATTACCAGCTTCCTGGCAGATTACAAATTCCATGAGGATAGGAACTTTGTAGTTTACCTCTGTATCCTCAGTACCTAGAACAGTGCCTGGCACATAGTAGGTGCTCAATAAATACTTGTTGAATGACTAAATCAGTTAATAGAGAAAGGATTCGCCATTTGGTTGAAGTGCCTTGCACAGAATAAACTCAATAAATGACCTGTCAAAACAGGTAGTGGACATATGAAAGAAGAATGACAGGCATGTTGCTGTGGATAGAGTTCCTCTGCCCTGTAGTTGTCTGGTTGCCAGAACTAAGTGGGGCAGGAGGAGCAGAAGGAGCCATCAAGTGAGACAGCAGAGCTTTGCTGTCATGTTTCTGTAAGCTCATGCTAGGGGTTCCATGCTGGCTGCTTGACCTGACAGGCCCAACCTATCTCTTTAGCAGCTGAGCTTACAAAATAACCACCACCCACTGGGAAAAACCTTGCCAGAATCTTCACACTGCCAAGTTGTTTTTGGTACCCTGTCTACAAGTATTTGCCAAACTCTGCTTAGTTTTCAAGGGGTTTTATAAAGCTCATGTTGAAGTCAGGGGAACAAAAGATTTTGATAGGAAATAACAGGGGCTGGATGTAGAAGAAATACTGACTTATGTAGGGGTAAAAATGGTTGTTCATGGAGACTCTGGTGTCAGAAAAGTACCAGATGGAAGAAAGGAAGGGGAAAAGGTGGAGGGGCCTGGAAACCTTATGACAAAGGTATCTTTGGATAAACATGAGGAGTCCTGAGGATTTGAAGACACTTGTGTACGCACCTCATGTGAGCATGGGCTGTTGAGCTGCATGCCATGGTGTGGCGCATGCCATGGTGTGGCACACGTGGCTTCATGTGCCAGGTGCTGGAGGTAAGACTGCGCCTGCTGGAGCTTTCCAATAGCATCAACAAGCTGACATCCCTGGAGCAGGCCTAAACTCCTGAGCAGAGAACAGCCGAGGTCAAAGGGGGAAGAGACTGGTGACCGGTCTGGGGGTGCTGATCTGTGTTTGCTTTTCTTCACAGCTTGGGAAACAGAAGAAAAGGTACATGCCGTACAACCACCAGCACAAATACTTCTTCTTGAGTGAGTGATCCCATTCAACCCCGGAGACTCCCTTGGGAGGGGGCACCGGAGGGATATGAGGAGGAAATGACTCTCCAAGGGATTATAGTCTTTTAGGTGAAGGCTGGAGGAAGTACTACACCCAGCAGGTTACTCCCTGCTTGGGAACAATCTGCCATCTCAGCTAAGGAGAGGTCATTTGTGCTGGGGGCAAACTAGTTCCTCCAGTCCCACCCTGGTTTCCACAAGAGTGGTCGGGTGGGGCATCCTAATTAAAACCTCACCTTGAAACTTGTCAGAGACCTCAGTCAAGGTGACTTAGTGGGGTGTAGTCTAACCCCCAGGGATTTGTAGATATAGCCTTGGGGGGTTGGGACCCAAAGAGGGATTGGAGGAGCTGTTGGAGAATGGAGAAAACATTTCTGTAGTTGTCTTAAGCTCTTTCTGAAGACTGCTATATGTTCCCTGCTTTAAAAATCTGCGCCATAATGCTTTGAGTTTTAAAACTCCTTTAAAAATTCAAATTTTTACAGGAAGGAAGGGGATGATTCCATTGATCCCATTTTAGTTCAAAGGAATTTATCCTAACTGCCTATTACGATCCCTCCCTACTGGAGAAAGAGGGATAGGGTAGAGGGTAGAGCAGAAAGGTCCAGAACAAAGAATGTTAGAATGCACAACACCTCAGACTAAAGGAGCCATGGGTAGGCATGGTAATGCAGGGGTTTGCGGAGAAGGGATGCATAAGAGGAGATGGGACAGCACATTGGATGCCATCAACGTCTTCAACTCCCAGGGTTAAGAGGAGCCCTTCTGCCCTTTTTCACAGCTGACCTCTGGAGCTTTGGGTTGGGAGGCACAAGCTCATTTCCCATGTCCAAGGAAGTGAGCTTTTAGCCCATGAGGCATCACCAGGGCCCCCCCATCCCCTAACACACACTTGCACACACTTTCCTGCTCCTGTCCCTTCACCTGCATGGTGGAGCAGCTAGAACACAGGGCAGGTGATTGCAAGGACAGGCATAGGGTCAGCAGCAGGACAACTTGGGGAGTGTTAGCTGTCACCTTTTAAAGGCACGGGAGCAGAGAAGTTCCATGTATAGAGCTTGAATTTCCCTAGCTGCCCTCTTCCACTGGAAAAGATTCCCACTCCCACTCCCACCCTCCTGGCGTCCACCTTCAGTGCCTGATGGCTCCACTGGGTTGAGGAGTGCCAAGGCAGCTGGAGAGGCAACAGGAAGAGATGGCAGAGGCCATCCCTCCAGCACCAGCCAGCTCATTAGTGACCCGCATGCTGCTCACAACTCCTCCCTGTCTCCATTTCCTCCCCAGTTGGGCCCCCAGCCTTGCTGCCTCTCTACTTCCAGTGGTATATTTTCTATTTTGTTATCCAGCGGAAGAAGTGGGTGGTGAGTATCCATGGCCCAAGAGTCCCACATCCTTTGTCTCCAGTACCCTGAGGGAAGGAAAGGAGTTCTCCAGGGGAAGTCCCACTGAGATTTACTCCAGGCCTAATTTAGAGCAAAGTAATAGAACCAGGTATAGATCTTCCTTATTTCTAGGTGGGATGATTTGGTCTCAGCCGGCAACCTGACTCCCAATGCCCTATTTCATTCAGCAGTATCTCCTGAGGTTCTTGTGCTAGGCATAAAGCCAGGGGCGGGACGAGTAAGAAACAGCACCAACTCCCAGGAAACTTCTGATGAAGCAGGATGTGGTTGACACCAAAGAGGTTTAGGCAGAAGGTTCTGAGATTCCAGAAGGGGCCTGGTGATAAACAGCTGGATGAGAGGCATCAGAAAAGGCTTTATAAAACGTCATATTTCCAACTGGCTTTGGAGGACAGACAGGTGGGGTGGAGGGAGGGTGGACTCTGAGCAGAGAAGCTGGGAAGTGAGGGGCAGATTTTCCACTGGACATTTTGTGGAGGACTCAAGTGTCAGGGGAAGAGTCTGGTGCAGAAAAGCGACCGGAGATTTGATAGGGTACTGGCACAGACTCATCCACAGTGCTGGGAGATTTATTTGGCAGCATGATGAAGGGTTGAAGGACTTAGATGGGTTGGGAGGAGCTGGAGGCAGGGAGACTCTGTAGGCCATGGCACCCATGAAGGAAACAGGCAAGGAAGGCTGGGGGTGCCACTAGGAATGGAAGGAAGAAGTGGTACTAGATATTTCAGGATTGGGCACCTGGGAGGGAATCTGACGGTGACTGAGTGTTCCAGTGTAGGTACCCAGGAGTGCCCACACCATGCAAAGAAATATGTGAAGTGAGAGGAAGAGGAAGAGGTGCTTCGCGCTAGTTATAATGCTCTGCCCCTCACTGCAGGACTTGGCCTGGATGATCACCTTCTACATCCGCATCTCCCTCACTTATGTGCCGTTGTTGGGAGTGAAGGGCCTCCTGGGCCTTTTCTTCATGGTCAGGTAGTATTAGATGGGGGAGTAGGGATTGGCAAAGAAAAGATGTTTGGGAGTAACCAGTCTGGTCTGGGGGCTGTGCTGGGGCTTTGGGTAGCAGCAGGTGTTCCTTCCAGGTGTTGGCCCAGGAAGGTGGCCAGGCTGGAGCAGTTATCTGAGGGAGAGGGAGAACTCTGGGCTCTGCTTGTACTGTTTTTGTTTGTGTTATACCCCTAGGTTTCTGGAAAGCAACTGGTTTGTGTGGGTGACACAGATGAACCACATCCCCATGCACATTGATTACGACCGGAACAGGGACTGGGTCTCCACCCAGGTAAGGGATGGTCACTTGGAAGACCTAGGCATGACACAACTAAGAAAAAGGGTGGGTGTGCAGAGACGCAGGGCAGGGGGTTGTGTGTGTGGGGCGTGGTGCAGTAGCAACAGAAGTTCCCAACAGCATTGGCTCATTAGCCCGAAGCTTTCCTTGCTACCATGTAGAGAAGGGAATGACCAGGGACAGTCTCACAGCCCCTCCTCTGACAGTTTTACCTGGAGACGGCTGGACTGGTCTTTGCATCTGGTACTCAGAGCCATGCTCTCCTCCTCTCCTTTTCCTCCAGCTCCAGGCAACATGCAATGTCCACAAGTCCCCCTTCAATGATTGGTTCAGTGGACATCTCAACTTCCAGATTGAACACCAGTAAGTAGGGAGACCTGGGGAGCAGGATCTTGGTCAGGGTCCACATGTGTTGGGGGCGGTGGGAGCAGAGTAAGCTGCTGACTGTCCTGTTCTCCCTGAAGTCTTTTCCCCACGATGCCTCGACACAATTACCACAAAGTGGCTCCCCTGGTGCAGTCGCTGTGTGCCAAGCATGGTATAGAGTACCAGTCCAAGCCCCTTCTCTCAGCCTTCGCAGACATTGTTCAGTGAGTATCTGAGCCTGGGAAGATGGCTGGTGGGGAGGGAAGAGAGCGGGGCAGTGGGGTTGTCCAAGTGTGGGGTTGGAGCCATAGGAAGGTTTCCCCAATGGAATTAAAGTCACCGAGGCAAAAGCAGGGCACTCTATCGGTCTTGTGGCCAGGTCAGTTCTTTGCTCTCGGTGCCATGGCCCAAGCTTTTTCTCAAAGGGGAAGAGAGCGTCCACATGGAAAGGGGCCTTATGTCATGGAGATAGGCTTCCAAACCTCTCTAAGAGCTTCTCCACTACATTTCTGGTGGGTGGTTTGGCTTTGGGGCTCAGTCTGTCCCTGTCTCCCTCACTGCTTGCTCCCATCTTATCCCTACAGCTCACTGAAGGAGTCAGGGCAACTCTGGCTAGATGCCTATCTTCATCAATAACAACAGCCCCCCATCTGGAAGAGGAGCCTCTGGAGCCAAAGCAGAAGGGAACTTGAGGGACAATGCCACTACAATTCTAATATTCAGAACGGGTTGGTTTGAGGAGAAAAGGCTCTGGCTCAAACCTCTCCCCTTTATCTTCCAGGCAGATTTATGACCCAAAAAGGGTGGGGGAACAAGCAAGCCCCCTGGAAGAAAGGATGGAACTGTTGGGACAGGGATGTGAGTTTTGTTTCTTTTTTCTAGTGTGTCAGATGCAGATGGTTGGTGAGCAGAAAGGGAGTCAGGAAGGTGTTAGAAGAATAGGGAGGACCAACTGAGCCCAGAAATCAGGAGATTTAGCAGTAAAATTCCACCCAGGAAAGGGGTGAGCTAATTTTCCTGGTCTGCTTCCCCACCCTTGCTTGCAAACCTCAGACGTTTTCAAGCTTGAGGGAGATAGAGCCCCTGAACCCTTGGAGCAAGATTTAGAAAGAGCATCACTGCTTAAATCGTGAGGCTTGGCATAATGCAGTGCCTGGGAGCTTGGCTCACTTTAGGGCTGTGACCTTCTTTTGCCTCAGGCTCCAGAAGCAATTTCTCCACTTTTAGAACTAGGCAGGACAAAGGCCAGGACTGTGGTACTGAAGACATCTGGCTCTGGAGGATCCTGTCACTACTGATGTTGGTCCCATGTTCTATCCGGAGTACCAAGGGAGCATTAGGTCCTAGGTCTTGCCAAAATGGCTAGCAGGGTTGCTGACCATTAAAACTCCCTTCAGCTTTGATTCATCTCTTCTAACCAGCACCTAAGGAGCAAAACAGTCCTAAGACAGGGAGTCCAAGTCTTGCTCCATGAACAAGTGAGCAGAAGGGGCAACTTAATTTTCTCCTCCTTAGAAACGAATGGGGGCTCCTAATGGTTCCTCTGTGCTTCCCTACCTATAATTCCAAATTTAAAACAATAGCAGTCAGTGAGCACAAGTGACCAGGCTGGGAGATACTGAATTACCAGTCATGAGGAAAACACAAGTTTGATCATGGAGAATGTAAGGGCTATAAAAAATTTTAACATAATTTACAGCATTACTTTTGAGCAGGAGCAATGGGGTTAAATGTAATAGCTTCATAGTTCTAAACTAGAAATAGGAAGATTAAAAACAGAAGTGATCATCTGTTGCTGTCATTAGGCATCTTACTCTGTCAACTCTGTTCAAGTATCTTTCTTTGCTGGAGACCAGGTAGGAATTTAGGATAACCTCTCATCAGTCTAATATTGAAATGCATTTTTTAAAATCTGTTTTTTAAAAGATAAAAACAATTTAACTGATCTCTAGAGAGCAAACACAGGAACGTGCCCCAGGAATTTCACCTTAACCCAGGGCTTGTCATCAGCATTCACACCCTGTTCCCTCCCACACCCATGGCTGTTCAGTCCAGGTGAGAGGATTGTTGGCCTGTTCAACAGCATCTACTGTAAGCATATTGAGCATCTGGGACACTGGGAGGAGGGAACCTCAAACTAGAAGGACAAAGCAGAGCTCTGGGAGAGTTTGCATTTAGTTTTGGGAGATAAAGGTCTTAAGGCATGTTGGGAAGGGACTTGTAAGAGGGACCACTTATGGAAAAGGGTATCATGATTACTTACGAGGCTTGTCAAAACAGAAAAATTAAAAAAAAAAAAGATGGGGGAGAACAGGTTGCAGAAGAGTTCAGATCTTTTTCATTTGGGCAGAACCTGGTTTAAATTAGAAGCAGAATTGAAGAGTTCTGTTTTCACTGGCTTCCTCACTGCAGAGTAGGTGCTGATCCTTCTCCATCCCTCTGTTCCCTGCCACCTAAGGTTGGGGTGTTGTGTCACCATCTTGATAAGCTATCTATCTGGCTTTGGGCCTAGGCTGAGCAAACCCAGCGAAGCTTATTGAGCCAAGTCCAGATCTTCAGAGCACCTCAAACATGTGGCCTTTTCTCCTTAGCCTGGACCAGTGTGTTCTCACATGGCCAATAAGAGACACACAGGTGACAAAAGGCTCATACTACTACATGAGTGATCTCAAATCTAATGATAGCTGAGAAAATAGGCTTAGATAGGACAAGTCACCTCCGGTCACAGATTGTGGCAGAACTAACATTTAAACTCACTTTTGAAAAACTCCCGACTTCTGTGTTTGTCTTTGTTACTTTCATCTCCTACCACTTTGTCAGAGGCATTTTCTTTAACTAAGCCCAATGTCAGTACCCTTTTTGTACACGCCAATCTTGTTACCACATCCTGATGGAGTAAAGCTGAAAAATAAAGTTAATTTTGACCAAATGAAGGCTATTCACTTGAAATCCACGACGTTTCTTTGCACATGTCAAAAGGACTCCCTGGGCCTATTCTTTAAGTCATTGTCTACTTCTATGGCTCTAACTTCTTTCTAAACAGGAGTCCCCAAACAGCCTCCCCTTTGCATAGTCCTCTCGGGCAGAAGGAACACCAGGACCTCCAGAAAACACCAGAGTACAGGTGGACTATGGCAAGGAAAAGAAAAGCCACCTCCTTCCCATGATACCCACATGTTCAAATGCTAGATACACTCCTTTTTGCCTAAGTCTTTTTCTGCAGACAATGCCTCAGAGCTGGACTACAAAACAATGACTTTTTAACCTCTATCCTACTAAAACAGCAATCTTTAAGCAAGCGTATTACAACATGCTAAATAAAAATTTGCAGAATTGATTTTCCTTGCAGTGTACAGTGGTTAACAAACATCTAGGCAACTCAACTTCAAAAAGAGGAAAAAAACATTCTACATGCTTCTACCACAGGGTACAAGCCCTTAACCAGAGCTATTGTACTGAGTAACTCCTAAGAAGCAGGGGAGGAATAAATGTTCCTCTTCCCTGAAGGTTCTTCTGGTTGGCCTAATCAAACAAACATGAGCTTAACAAGGGAATATAACCAAATTTAACATTTGTGTGGGAACCCCAGACAGGAGAGACTCCAGTGCCCTAGAGGTTCAGAGATAAAAGGTTTGTCCCACCTCACAGAGGTCAAAGAGGTTATCTTTGATAATCTTATAGGCAAGGCCCCTAATTCAGATTCTAGGTAGTAACATCTTGCTGACCCGCCACCAGTTAACTAGTGTCCGCACTTTCATTAACTAAATTTTAAACACCTTGCTGATAAAAGTAGCTGGCCACAGGAGCAAGTTCTGGCTCAAAACAGCCAGTCAGCAAGGTGTTAAAGAAGGGGCAGAGATTTCTCTAAAGCCAGCAGCTAAAGTTGCCTTTAAGGTAGGGCAATATGTAGAACACAGAAATTTTACCATCTCTGGGAATTACTTGAATTAGAAAATGGTACTCAAGAAGTAAGGGTGTGGCTTGGCTCAATCTGGGAAAAAATGGTTTTACTCATCAACTGGAGACAGGGCAGTGAATAGAACAAAGACCCCTGCCCTCAAGATAGGACTTTCTGTGTACACAGGTTGTTTTCAGAGTCCCCTAGTTACGACTATCCGATTTGTACTTCAACCAGAGGAGCTCTTATATCCTGAGATTCCACATAAGATTTTCATTTGAAAAATAGGTTGCTCCATTAAAAATTGTGAAAACTGCCCTGGCCGGTGTGGCTCAGTAGTTAGAGCATCAGCCTGTGAAGTGAAGGGTCCCGGGTTCAATTCCCAGTCAAGGGCACCTCCCCAGGTTGCAGGTTCGATCCCTAGCCGTTGGTTTGGGAGGCAACCAATCGATGTCTCTCCCATTCTCTAAAAAAATAAAAAATCAATGGAAAAAATATCCTCGGGTGAGGATTAACAAACAAAAAAAATTGTGAAAACCACTTGTCTTTGGTCTTCTATCTGCTTAATCTGTCAAAATATCAACTTAAATTTCAGACCACTTAAGTGTCCTCATTAACTTAAAATGGCAGTGATAAGATTGCTAAAAAATTAGAAAATCACACAGGACTACTCCCTGCCAAGTTTTATCAGGATTATAAAACTTGCAAAGTACAAAAACATCCCATCTCTGAGAAACAGCAACCTGAATCTGATGTCACAAAAGGAACAAGGAAGTGGTTTTGAATGGCGGCTTTCACAACTTACAAACTGGTAAACGCTTGAATGTTATAGTAGTTGATCTAAATTGTGAGGCTTTCTCAAAGGAATTCCTTTATCTCACACTGGAAAACTGGAAACTCGGTTCCTAGCAAGATAAACGGGTCCTCCAAATGGCTGGTGTACAACCCGCGCTCCTTTGGCCATTCAGTGGAGCATAGCGCCATCTTGTGGTCACACTCAAACCGCCTGTTAATAGGGTACAATTCCAGCATGTTATCTTAAAGTGAAAAGAACACTACATTCTGCCTAGTTTTGTAATTTTATTGACTTTTTTCATGTTTAAAACAAAAATATAACATGACAACAGCATCTTATCCCAAAGTCTCAAGTCAGTTGACTGCCTCAGAGAGGCCATGAGAACTAAGCCACCTTATGCCTTGTTAATAACAACTAAAGATTCAAGTTACATAGCAAGTTCAAGTTTCTGCCCATCCCGGGACACACAGCCAGTAATCAAACCCATGTTTCCAACTCCAGGGACTCTAGCTCTCTGCCTGTCTTATTTCTCAGTAGCTCTTCCTATCTGTTAAGGCTGAATCTTTCTGGCTGGCTATCCTTCAGGGTGGGTCAAGGGTGAACCAGAGAGAAAAGTGCAATCTGGTTCCACCACCACTGGCTAACAGTTGGCCAGCTTGGAAATCATTTCCATAGTCTTTTGTCTCCACCATTTTATCTTCCCCCCATCTTTAAAACTTGTTGCTATCACTTTTATGTAACAATGGATTCAGTGTTCATTAAATTGACTGAAAGGTGGTTTGAGCCTGACATACTTTCCTGAGCTAAAAAAGAAGAAAACAAAGTACCTCTGTGGCCTTCCTGCTATAAGATCAAGTAAAAAAGGGAAAATCACTACTGAGAAGGGTAGTCCTGGAGAAGCAATGCAATCCCCTCCCTGCCCCATGGAGGTTTCTCTAGCGCTAGCTCTTAAGGGGACAAGATAGATATTCTGGGGTCAAGGAGGTATAATGAAGGGAAACTCATTTATTTCCCCCTTTTAAACTTCCCTGCTGCCCCAGTTTTTGCCTTCTTCTTAGCAGAACCCTTGGGTCCTGGCTCCTTGCGCTTAGCTGAAGAGAGAGAGCCGGTCACCTTAAAGAAATCTTCCAGGCGGCCCTGGGTGCTCCCTTGGCGACTCTTGCTCAGCCGCTTGACCCCACTACGGATTCGCTCCTCAGAGAACTGCTTTTCACCACACATGAATCTGACGAGCTCTTCTTCATTTGGCTCACTCCACTTCAGCTCCACAGATTCCGGGTCCAGCACCTCAGGCTCTAGGAAGAGCTGCTGGGCCTCCTTGTGGAGCCAATTTTCTGGCACAGGGTACTTGTTCGGATCAAGTCGGCGTACAATCTCCTCAATGCTCTTGTGCTTCTGGATGAGGTCCACAGCCCGCTTAGGCCCAATGCCCCGAATGCTCTCACAGTAGTCACTGCCCAGCAGGATGCACAGGTCCACAAACTGCTCCTGGTTGAGGCCTAGCTCCTGCAGAATCCGGCTCAGGTGAAACTCCTGGATGGGCAGCTTCTTGGCCTCACTGGCTGTCAGGTGCCGCATTAGCACAGGGCTGCCAAAGGTGAGACAGTCCATGTCTTCTGTGGCTGCAGCATAGACTTTGCCAGCCTTCACCAGGGCTGCACAGCTGGCCTCTGCCTCACTGGGTGCATCAAGGTACGGGATGCCCATGAGGCTCAGTAGATGCTTGCACTCATCATTGTGCTGCTTGGTGACCTTCACCAGCCGCTTAGTAAACTTCTCCACATCCTCCTCGGCCCCAGCAGCCTGAGCTTGATGCAGATGCTTCTCTGCCTCTGCCCGCCGCTCACTGCGTTTGGCCAGCTCACCTGACTTCAGCTGTGGCGGCTTGCCATCAAAGACATACACGGGCTTGATGCCATTCTCTATCATGCGGATGGTGCGGTAGAACATGCCCATCAGGTGGCTGGTGGTCTCACCCTCCTCATTCTGCAGCACATCGCCACCCTGGCGAACAGCAATCAGGAACTGATAAATGCTCATGGAGGCATCGATGGCCACCTTGCGGCCAAAGTAGCTCTTGATGTCATTCTCCCGAATGGCACTGGGGGCCACATCAGCAATCAGTTTGGCCAGGCCTTGAATACCCATAGCAATTCAGAGGAGGAACAGCTAAAAAAGAAAGGAAAGCGAGATAAGGGGGAATGTAAAGGATGCAAAAAAACAAAAAAAAAAGGTTATAACTGGTGCTGTCTCACCACTGTCATGCCTTCAGCTAAATAAATTTAGCACAACAAAGATGATACCAAGTCGGCACAGCAGAAGAGGAAAAGATGAACAAGACAAGGTTTCCATGGCCAAGAAACTTACAGTCTAGCAAGGAACGCCACTCAACTAATACTAACAGGCTTCCTGAGTGCAAATGAACTGGGCACCAAGAGGAACAAGAGTCTGTTGATGCCCTTCACGGGCTTTGAGGCAACAGGACTGGCCTGCAGTAAGGGCTATGACAGATGTCTGCATCAAGACCATGCAAATCCAGAGTGTGCCTAGCCCAGCTTGAGGAGTCCAGGGATCACAAAGGCAGGACTGAGAAAAGGACAGGCAAATGCTGGTTAGACAAAGGCGAGACGAGACAGATACCAAAGCAACTATAATACACGACTGAATGTGTAAAGTGGTAAAAGAAACACACAAGCATCCATCTCGCCAATATGTGAAAATCACATTCGTTCTCCCCTAAGTCATTCCTCCACCTCCCTCTCCTTAGCAGCTCTGATGGTTAGTTTTCTGTGTCATCTTGGCTAGGCTATAGGTCCCAGTTATTTATCCAAACACTAATCCAGGTGTTGCTGTGACATTACTTTGTAGATGTGGCTAACATCTATCATCAGCTGGCTTTAAGTAAGAGAGATTGCTCTCCATTATGGGGTGGACCTCATCCAAGTCATCTGAACAACCCTAACAGCAAAAACTGAGCTTTCATGAAGAAAAATCTGCCTCAAGACTGCAGCATCAACTCCTGCCTGAGTTCCCCCCCACCTGCTGACCTGACCTACAATTTTCAAGCTTGCCAACCCCTACAATTACCTGAGCCAATTCCTTAAAATAAGTCTCTAGGTCTGCATTATCCTCTATATCTATTTGTTCTCTTTCTCTGGAGAGCCCTGACTGATACAGCAGCCCTGAAGAATAGGAGTGCTGTGTGGGAGTACACACAGCACTAACCTCCCTTCAGTATCCCCTCAGCATTTACGAGTTTGTATTTCTACCCTGATGTTGTAGGAGTTTTAAGTCTTTCTCTTGTATGTTCTCTCCACCCCTAAGTTTGAAACGTGAATTCCATGGCTCCTACCATACCCCAGGCTCTGATCTAGTCACTCAGCCCAGCAATGCATTTCTGTGGTTCAGGCTCCTTAACAAATAAAAACTCACCCTCACAATTTTGCTACTTCCATTAAAACCTGTACTTTCATTCGCTTAAAAGTGTCATGAAATGAACACCACTGTTTCAAAACTAAGATAACTTGAAAAAGAGAACGCATCGTAAGCAATGTCTCTTATATCGGTCCATTTTAATGTGTTAAATGTATAACTATTCAGTTAAAATGGATTTTGTGTGTGTGTCCCTCACTTGAAGTCATCATGTGCCCACTGGTGGTCTGTGTCCAACACTCTACGAAATATAACACTAGGCCTTTTGATTGTCCCCATTCTTCCCTCACAGGGTTCTTCCTAAAAGCATAAGTGACCCTGTTACAGCCTCCTCCTAATTAAGTTCAAACACCTCCGCATGCCATCTAGATCTTCTGTGCCCTGGTTCCCAGCCCCCCTTCAGTCCGGGTCCCAATGAAAAGGCTGGACCGAGGCCTGCCTTTTCTCACTTCTGCTCGGCTATGCCCTCCACCTGCCACCCTCCGGCCCCTTCTTCAAGGTTCATCTCATTCTAGTTCCCCTGTGAATGGCAGTGGCCTTGAATCGAGGCGCGAGCATTTACCACCGGTATTTACCGCCCGGGGAGCATCACTAAGTCACTGGGTGTGTGACATTACTAAGCCGTTTCCGTTTGGTCTTTACTCGCGACACGCATTAGGTGCCCTGTGGACGCCCCCTCCAGCACCTACGAGATGCTCTGGGTTCACGCCTCAAGCCGGCTGCTTGGCCAGAACGTGTACTGAGAGGACAATGCCTTGCGAGCCAGTCATCCCGCCACAGCATCCAACAGCGGGGTCTAAACAAGCGAAGTTCAAGACTGTTTCTCATGCAGGATCTTCGTCAAAACACACCACGACCCCAGGAGGTGGAGTTATTATCCTGTCTACAAATGAATAAAGCAGCTCGCAGGTTCCGCGACTGGCCCTAGTCCCACAGCGGGAAAGCGGCGGGACCGCACTGGCGACTCAGCCCCGCGCGGCGGCCGGCCTCCGACAGCACCCAGCGCAAAGCAAGCCCCGCCGCTCTCCAGATGCTTCCCACGGGGTCTCACCTGGTCTTCGGGGCGCGAGGGATCAGCAGCTAGCGCTTGGTCCGGTGTCGCCTGGCACAGTCCTCACTCCCGCTCCCGCCTCAGCTCGCCCGCGGGTCTTCTCTCGCTCTACCGCCTTCCAAAGCCCGCGCTCCCGTCACGTGACCCGCCGCTGCGCACAGCCTCCTGGGAAGTGTAGTGCAGGCCCCACCTCTCGGCCAGCTTCTGTCACGGCAAAGTCCCCGCGTGGTGAACGGACTTTCTCGGTGACCTTACCCCACCCGCCTCCACCGCTTGCCCTCACTCCACCCAAGGTCCTCGCAGGCGCCAGCTCCTGCTACATCCGAAACAACAGGACTACAAGTCCCACAATGCCACCTGCACGGGTGCCACTTCCTCTTCCGACTGAACGGCTCGCCGGCTCCTGCCGACGTGTTTTTCCGGTGGCAGAGCAGCGGATTACCAGTGCCAGGCAAAATGGTGAGAGCGTTGAGGGGAGTTTGGAACAGGACTGTGAGCGCCCCTCGGGCCCGCCCCACACCCCGTTTCTCCCGCAGGGACCTCGGACGCCCTTGATCTAGAGAGCGGGAGGCTCCCATATCTTCCCGCTTGGGCTGAGGGGCGGGGAAGGGAAGCCCTTTGCCATGGACTCCTTAGGTTGAGGTTTTGATCTCGCCAGTTTTAGGGGTGGGGGGCGTGAGGTGCATTTTAATATTTTGGAGCTTTTATCTCTTTTATTTGTGATCAAGCTGTTCTCTCTACCTCGACATTTCTTCCCCCTGCCGAACTCGTACTCGTACTACAAGCTGTTCTCTCTACCTCGACATTTCTTCCCCCTGCCGAACTCGTACTCGTACTACAAGGCCCTGGGCAAATGTCACCCTCCTGGTGAAGCATTTCCACCTCTTTCAGGCTGTTGGCCTCTCCTGGGAGCTCCCACAATCTCAGTACAGACCTCTTGCCTCGTGTCCCGGACTTCATTGTTATCTGCCACGCCTCCTAGTAACCACCATCTGACGTGCCTCTAGCCCTGAAACGATGTCTATTCATCTTTGTATTCCCAGTGCCTGCAATTGGAGGCTCAATAAATGGCAGCGATTGTCTTTATCATTTTGGGTGGGGGGCATAAATGTTTACCGAATTGAATCCCAGTGTCTCTTGGAACAATGGGGTCAGTTTACTTCTCTAGAGTTGTTATGTTCAGGATTTTAGAAGCATTGGCTGGTGGGTGACAATGGAAGTTAACATTTGTACAGAACTGTATGTTTACAGCCCTCTTTCACAGGCATTACCTCATAATCGTCCCTAAACTTTGGGAAGAAAACAAACACCTATTGAGGGACTGCTCTATGCCAGGCAGTAGCCAGATGCTTTGACATTCGTCATCTTTCTTAAATCATACATCGACCCTGTGAGGTGTTATAACACCATAACTGAGACGCGTGTTATTCACTAGAGCCAGAATTTTAACTGATGTCTTTTGCCTCTAGATCCTGAGATTTTGTAATAGCATAGTGAGAATAATACAGAATTAGAAGTGGACATCTGGGTACCGGTCCAGTGTCCACAGACATGGAGCCATAAAACTCCTAAAATTACAGGCAGAATTTTTCTTTTCTTTTTTAATTTTTATTAATTTTAGAGAGAGAGAGAGATGAAGGGAGAGAGCGAGAAACATCAATTTGTTGTTCCACTTACTTATGCACTCATTGGTTGATTCTTGTACTTGCCTTGACCAGAGATCGAACCCGCAACCTTGGTGTATCAGGATGGTACTCTAACCAGTTGAGCAACCTGGCCAAGGCCAGACTTTTTCTTATATGTGGTTTTTCTCAGGAAGAGAGTCCATACTTTTCATCACTTTTTTTTTTTCTTCATAGCGGTCAGTAACCTCAGAAAATATTGAGGGCCATTGATCTATAGCTAATTAGTCACCTTCTATGCCCCAGCCTCTGACTCTCAGCCACCCTTCTTGTTTTGTATTGAAAAGACAAAGTGCCACCTTAGTTTCAGATGTAATTGTTGTCATTCCCGAATTGAATCACTTGATGTTGGTTCTGAAGGATTTCCATATTTCCCAGGCTGAAACAGGCCTTAAGCAGTCACAGCAGCATGAGGCTCCTTGATAACCCCATAATCCCCCCAGGTTGAAGTTGTGGGATTCTTTCATGGCTCTGATCTCATGCCTTTCCCTAGGAGCTCGAGGCCATGAGCAGATACACCAGCCCAGTGAACCCAGCTGTCTTCCCCCATCTGACCGTGGTACTGTTGGCCATTGGCATGTTCTTCACCGCCTGGTTCTTCGTGTATCCTTCCACTGAATGAGTGAGCCAGAATTAGTGATGTTGGAAACTGAGGCAGGAATCATGCTGGGTAGTACATGCACCCTGCCAGTTTTGTCCTGGTGTGGGGATGGGAGGAGTAAGGGGGTTGAAGGAAGGCCATTGATGTTCACGGTCATGTGGGCCCAGTTTGCTCTTCAGATTTCTAGGACAGTAAGCAGAGGGCCTGGCTGGATTGGAGGCTGGGAGTAGATCTGGTTGGAAAAGTGGTATAGGGAGGGGTGCCTTCTGGTGTCAGATTTGAGGACTAGTCTAGCTCCACCATTCATTAGCTGTGTGACCTGGGGTAAGTGACCTAACCCCTTTGGGCCTCATTTTCTTCCAGGATAGTAGAGGGGTAGTATGGAGCAACAGAGCCTAGGTCATCTCTTGGGCTTCTCTGCCTGGCTGCACCAAGCCAGACAAACTTCCCAGAAAGCCCATAACCCATACCTTTCTCTAAGAGCTGCAGTAGCCATGCTTCCTGCTCTGTGCAGTCCATCCCTTTGCTTCTCCTTAACCGTCTTACCAGTTACGAGGTCACATCCACCAAGTACACTCGGGACATCTACAAAGAGCTCCTCATTTCCTTGGTGGCCTCACTCTTCATGGGCTTTGGGGTCCTCTTCCTGCTGCTCTGGGTTGGCATCTACGTATGAGCTCCCAAGGGTAAGAGCTGTGGCAGGGTGGGGTGCCAGAGAAACCGCCCACCCCCACATCAGTGGGGTCCTCAGGCCTGCAAGACCCCTTAATTAATGGAGACAGACTCAGCAGGATAGGGACACCAGACATATGTGCTGCTTTCCCTATTCCTAATGGGGATTTGAGCCAAGTGTGACCTACTTTGTCAGTTCTGAATTCTGTACACTGCCCAGGGCCTCGATCTGGCTCTGGGATGTACTACATAGGGCTGTGGCTCAAGCTTCCCGTGGTTATGCATCTGCGTTCTTACATGTCATACACCAGTAACTTGGAGAGGCTGCTGGGGAGTGGGCCAGAAGGGGTCAGGGTCTAGGACTTAAAACTTGCTGCAAAGAGAACTATTTTGATTAGTCTGAATGTTTCAGCCATTGAAATAAATCTTGACTGAGAGAAGAAAAACAAAAAACTTGCAGAAAACTTGCAAAAAACCAAACATCTTGAGAATTGACTCTGGTGGCTCAGTTTCAAAGAAGTGTGCCCCTCAGTATTTGCCCCAGGAGCATAGGGGCTCAGTAAGAAAAGTGGGTGGAAAGGGGGATCTTTGGTCTCATTTTGATACCCCTCTCCTCTTCCAGGTTCCAACCAGGCAGCTTCACTGAATCTCTGCTTTTGTAAATTAATTTTTTTACTATTGCTGGAAGTGTCCCGCCTGCTGCTCACAATAAAGGCAGATGTGTGACTGTCTGGTCTGGTGCTCATTCCGCAGGGTGGGAGTGGGTGCTGGTGCTGAGACCTACCTGACTTCCCCAGTTCCACCTCTTCCCACTTCTCTTCTGCCTTTCAGATGGTTCCTGCTGCTGGGATGCCTGCTCTCTACCTATGAGGAGCAAAGGGGGTGCAGGAGGGGTGTCTTGCCATTGTAATTGAAGGCTTACCTGTGGATAGGCAGAAGCAGGCATACTCTCTTCTGTTGTTTCTAGACAAACTTCTCTAGGAACCCGCACCAATCAAGTGTGCCCTGGGCCAGTCCTCTGCTCCAAATGTAGCCACTCTTCTCTGGGCTGGGAACCCTGGCAAAGGTTCAGCTTGTCCCCTAAAAAGCTTTTTCCTAGGGTGGCTGCCTTTAACCCGAACAGGGCAGTGGTAGGTCCCTGGGGTATGGCTAGGGAAGGGGGCTGCTGAGCCTTGTTCCCAAGCCTAGCATGAAGCTAAGAATAATGGGCTATGAAGCATTCATCTGGCTGAGGGACCCGAGATTCCAGTAGGTCCTAGCCCCAAAAGTGACTCCATTTCCCACCAGAACAATCTCAAGAAGAGACAGGGAGGCAAGCTCAGATACAAAGCCATATTTATACATTTATTTATATACGTGTATTTACTTTAGAAGAAAAGAAGAGTTCAGGGGACAGGAAGCAAACAGGCCCAGAGCTGCTTCCCTCTGTCCACACCAGAGTCAGAGTGGGTACATGATAAATAGGAGTCAAAGCTCAGGGACGGGAACTGGGAGTTAACGGGGAGAGGGGCGCTCTGTGCACACGCAGGTATTTACTGGAGATCTATGAGGGCAGGGGTGTTGTGCATTGAGAGGCCCTATGTACAGCTTGAAGCTTGGGGGAGGTTAGCCCAGTGGCTACAGGAATAAATGCCAAAGGGGAGAGAGAAAGGGAGAGAGGGCTGCTGGACCCCCGGGTACAGCAGGGAGCCAAGACACCCACTCACCAGCACCAGCCAGGCAGCCGTCAGCTTCTAGCAGGTGGCCCATTCACTTTCCCTGAGGCCCTTTCACCTTATTGGGCTTAAGGCAACTTTGGTCCAAGGTTGACCCTGCTCTAGCAGCTTGGAGCCCCTGCTTGGCCCCAACCCCTGCACTGAGGATCCCCACCCCAGGCATGGAAACAGCCAGCTGCTAACTGGATTGGGGCTATGCTGTGTCCAGATGGGCTCCAGAGGGCAGTGGAGGGTCACTATCCAGTTAAGGACTGAGAGGCCACAGTCCAAGAACACACACCCCACTGAGGAAGCCCAAGAATCTTATTACAGGGAGCGGGGCTCAGCAGTTTTAAGGCATTTAAGGAGGTTTCCCCCATGGCAGGAGAGAGAACAGAGCAGTCCTAAGGCTAGGCCCCCTATATGGTATGAGAGCCAAGTAATTCCTATGTCAGAATGAGGGAGTCGTGCCACATTGGGGAGAGGGCTGAGTGGCCAGGTATCCCTACTAGCCCCCATCCTCCGGTGTCTCCTCATCCTGAGGATAAGTGCTTTGAGATCCATTGCAGAAGGGGGCCCGCAGTTCATAGGCTTTTTCAAGATTCAACCCCCCACCCCTACAGAAAGGCCTCCCATTCAGAGCTGAGAATGAGAGGTAAGAGGGGCAAGGCCTGGTTCCCAAAACAGTGGCAGACCACCACAGAGCAAGGACGTATGGGAAGTCCTGTCCTTTTATCTGAACCCATATTAGACATGGCTAAATGATTTCCACACTCCTGTGAGCCAGATGTAGCCTCAGAATGCTGCAGGCACCCACTAAGACAGGTTAACATTGGCATTTGAGATAGGACTTCTGCCCTAACCTAGGCCTACCGCTCCACTCCTAGAAGGAATGGGCAGAGATGGGCCCTACTGCCAAGCACGGGTCCCTCCAGCTTGGCTGTCCAAGCTTAGCATGGGAGCCCTTGATTTGGGGAGACGAGACCACCAGCAGACAAGAATGGAGGGAGAAGCCAGAGTCTTGGTGGTCAGGAGTGGGATGGGTATCTCAAGGCTCCCTGGGACAGATCAGAGCCAGGGCCCTGTCTTTCCAAATGTCATCCCAGGGTTCTGGCCCACTCTGGGCTTTCCATCACCATCCTTCCACTCCTGTTCTGGTTTAAGTGCATTTTAGTAATTCATTAATAACAGTGAAAGCTATCTGCATCCACCCATCAGCCAAGATGGCCTGATGCCTTGCAAGGATTCCTGCTCCTCTGCTCAGAGAATGATGGGTCACTGACACAACTGTGAGCTATGGCAGCTCCCAGGAGCCCAGGCCTTGGGGCTGTACCACTGGAAGCTCACAGGGAACTTCCCTTACAAGATACTCCAGGTTCAAGGCTCCGAGGCCTGTCTGGCCCACTGGCCCCACTGGTTCAGCCAGGCACTAAGTGTACATAAGGCACATGGTCAGTCTCCAACCCATCCAGCGCTGGCTTCAGCTGCCCTGGGAGCTCTTGGAGCCAAGCCCTCATGAAGAAGAGACTTCCAGGCCACACTTAAGGCTTCGAAGTGCAAGTCCAGCGTAACAGTCAAACCCCCAAAGTCCACCACCTCGCTGCCCCTTGGGGAGCAGCTTCGAGGGTGAGGGCTGTTTGCCCTCCACTGATGCATGGTCCCAGCCAAGTCTCAGGGCTCCAGTCAAGCCCCCTCTGATCTCAAAGGCAGGCAGTTCCTCTCTGAGGGCCAAAATGGAGCTCCCAGTCTCCAATGGGGAGGCAGGGAGGGTGGGCTCCGGACAGAGTCCCAGGCTTCCCCTTGCCTCCAGGGCACCTGAAGCCAGCCCTCCAACCACACCTGGACAGATGTGAACTAGTCCTGTCCTGGCCCCAGGAGGTCTCTGGTTCCCTCCAGGGTGTGGGAGGAGGGATCAGCAAGAACAGCAGCTCCAGTGTGAGGACTTCCAGTTTCACCAGGCAGGAGGGCCAGGCCCAGCTCAGTCTCTGAGGGAGGGAGTGCCAGTGAATGGAGAGCTGGTGGGCGCAGGCTCCAGTGTAACAACTGCATTCAGTGTGGAAGGGGCGCCGGGGACCCCGGGCCCTGGTGTGGGGCTGCCTTGGGAGGGCAGCTCAGTCACACAGGCGGTAGAAGCGGAAGTAGTAGTCTGTGGCCTGCCGGACCCGGGCCTCCGCACTGCAGTTGGCCTGACCCTGGGTAGAAGCGCAGGGGGACGGTGAGGTGGCTTGGGGGTTGCAAGGCAGGAGGCATTCCCCCTGCTGACATTGCCTGACACTGCCCCAACTCCTGCCCTGAGCTCTGCAACACGCGCCCCCCCCCCCAAGCCCCACACAGATAAAGGTGCCTGGACCTCTGGGACAGACAGGTGCCTGTGCTCACCAGCAATGCCACCTGGAAGTGGTAGGTGAATTCACGGAAGGATGGGATGGTTACTGGCCACTGGTGGGAAATGCCCTGGAGAAAGAGTGGAGAGGGGTCAGGACAGCCCCCTGCCCTACCCTAACCAGTGTTCCTGTCGCATGGCCACCACAGCCTGTGCTCTGAGGCCAAGCTGGAAAGGAAAGGAAAAGCATCTCTGAAGAGAGATGGGCGGGAGCAGGTTCTGCTTTGGGGCACAATGGCAGCCACCCTCAATGCAACCGTGCCAAGTACCTGCAGCCCACAGCTGCCTCTCCTCCCCATCCTGTCTACCTTCCCTCCTACCCACTACGCTCTGGGCACATCAAGTATTTCATTAACCCACTTTCACTACAACCCAGTGAGGTGGCGCTACTTACAGATGGGAAACTGAGTTACTTGCCTAAAGCCACACGGTGACGTGTGGCAGAACAGGACTTCAAACCCAGGTCTGCCGTGCTCTTTCCCTGCCAGGGCAGTGTGAAGCCCAGTGCGGGTAGCTTGCCCATCTCCTATCTGAGGCTCTGGCTTCACCCTGCAGTATGCACGCTGAGGCCAGAGCTCCACGTCTACTGAGCGCCCTGCTGGGCTCTCCCTCCATTCCCTGTGCTCCCCCCTCTCTGTGGGGCCGCAGCACCTGGGCCTCTGGGGTTCTCACTCACTCTACCCTCTATTCGGGTTCCTTTCTGCACATCTTTCTCCCTGCCAGTGCACTGCTGGAAGGCAAGGCCCGTGAACCCTGCACTGCTGTCTCCCCACGGCTGGGCCCAGCACAGGGCCTGCCACAGGGGGTCCCAGTGAATATTTGTTGACTAAACACATGAAGGGTGAGAAGAAATTCCCTTAACTTGTGCTGAGAGTCACAACTTCAGGTCATGGCTAGGGAGAAATTAGACAGTGACAGAATCCCAGCCACTTGGTTCCCAGGGCAGGAGATAGCCCCCTACATGTTATCCTGAGGGGTCTCCCCAAATCCAGATGGAACTGGGCCACTTCCCCAGCCTGAGCGTGAGGTCTAGGCCCCCCGCCCAGCTGGCCTGCTGACTCACAGCCCCCACCGTGTTTCCAACTCTGCCAGCATGCCATACCCTCCCTGTCCTCTAGATCTCTACATGTGCTGTTCACCTCTCCTGGGACACTCCCCAAACTGTCCTTCAGGTCTCATCTTAATTAAACATGACTTTTTTCAGTGGCTGTCCTGACCCTAAGATCAGACGAGGTTAGCTCTCCCTGCCATGGGCTCCCAGGACTCCCTCCCTGTCCCTGTTCCCACCATTGCACTTAAGTTAGTCCTTGTGGAACCAATTTCTTCCCCAGGGCTCTGTCAGGGCAGGGACAGGACAGAGCAGGGGACAAGAAATGCTTAGCAGTGACTGGTGTACATATGCCCCCTCCCCAAGGCCCAGAGGCCCAGACCCAAAGTGTCCCTTGTGGATACACCTTCACTCTGACCCCCGGCTCCCTCTCCTCACCCATTTGGGGGCCCCATTGTGCTCTGGGGCCTGGTAGGCCCACAGCCTCCCAGCTGCCCCCTACCTGAGTGTCCTGGTGGGTATGGAGGCTCTGTGGAGAGCCCCCCTCCTCACACGGCTCCTCCGACCTCAGGCTGCACAGCACCACGGACACGGGGAATGAGGAGCTGGGAAAGGCCCAGGTAGCTGGGAATTGGGTTCTGAGGTCCTCCGCCCCAGCCTCCTCCCAGCCAGCCCTCCACTCCACCTCCCCTGCCCCACTGACACAAGCCACAGAATCCTCAGCCTGAAAACGATGCTAACAGTCAAGGCCATAGATGGCTATACACCCTTCCCTGTCCACCATCCCATAGGGTCCTCAAGACCCCTGCAAGGCAGCAGCCCAGCCCATTCTACAGATGAGGAACCAAAGCCCAGGAAAAGTGAGCATCCCTCCTCAGCCCCCCTCCCAGTTGCCAGGGACCGCTGTCTCTTCCCTCCCCGACACCGCACTCACTTCATCTGCAGGGTCAGGCTGAGGTGCAGTGGGGTGCTGCTGCTGACAGGGATGTGGTAGGTGAAGTTCCCAGGCCTGAAAGGGCAAAGCTGGCTCCTCAGCCCAAGGCCACCCCCACAGGCCCCCACCCCAGTAGACTCCTCAGCCCCCAGTCTATGCTGGAACCCTTCAGGGGTCTAGAAAGGGACTGTGCCACCTTGTGAGGGGAGTTCCTCCCTGAGGGGGGCAAGATCTAGACATCTCTACTGCCTAGGCTCAGGTCACCTGAGGGAACCTGTCCTTGGGGTGAGGGAGGGAGTCAAGCCCACCTGCAGGCATCCCCCGGAACACAGTACTGGGCAGTGATGGGCATCGAATTCTCCAGCACCTGGATGGAGGTCAGGGAGGGGGCTGGGTCTGCAAGGAGAGAGGCTGTTGGGGCAAGGAGAGGAGGGTGACACAGTAGGACACAGATGAGAAGCAGCCAAGCCTTTCCTGGCTAGATTTACATCAGTCATTCACACCTTAGTATGAGTAAGTTTCATGTTATTCTTTCCATACTCCCACAATGGCTGGGGGCCCAGCACCCTCTTCCCCAGCAGCCCTGGGACTAGCCAGTTCCCCTGAGCCTGAGGTCTGTCTCCTTGACAGGCCCAGGAGCAGGGATGGTCTTACATGTCCCTCGCCAGGGGTGTACAGGAGCCTGCTCTTCAGGCCTCGGTTCCTGACTACACACATCTCTAACACACTCTGGGTTCAATCTAGCGAGGCGCTTGAAATCAGCCATGGTGGGAGCACTTACACACACAAATCAGGGCCCTCCACCCCCAGAAAGCCACTTAAACATGTACCAGCACACCACTGCTTGTCCTCTCTGAACAAACCCGCCACAGACAGATCAGGTGGGTGTGGGACTGAAGTGTGACTTGGAGGGTGGGGGGCACAAGGCTGTCTTGTTCACCTCAGATCATCTGAGGCTTGCTGCTGCCTGACATGTACCCAGGAAGTGGAAGCTGGGGCACCAGCCATTGAGCGTTTGCTGGACCTGGTACATTTTCAGCTCTGTGAGGCGCCCAAGGAGCCCAACAGGACCCAGAACACGCCATGGGGCCATGGGTCGGTATCACATAAGGACATTGTGGATAGCACCCTTCCACTTCTTTTCTGGGCAAACTCCTACTGTCCCTCAGAGACTCAATTCTAATGTTATCTTCCTAACCCTCCCTGAGCAGCTCCCCACCTTGGCCTGGACTGAGTGCCCTCCCCAGTTACCAGGCCACCTGGGAATCCTCTCAGAGCCTCGTCACACTCTGTGTTTTCATGTCTGTGAGCTCTTGGGGGGCAGAGCATGTCTCTCCCCAGTGCCCTGTGCAGAGCAGCCACAGAGCAGGGCCCAGGAAATGACTCTCGGGTGAGCATCTACCCCTGGGGGGTTTCCCCATCACTTTGAATTTCAATCTCAGCAAACCACAGCTTCTTGGCTCCTCCCCCCACCCCCCCTTAAACCACAAGACCCATCAAATGAAAGTTGATGAGGAGGCCCAGTATCGAGAGCAGAGCTACCTGGTTGAAGCCAGGACAGTTCTTGGTCTCCTTGTGAACCTCCAAGGCAGTCCCCGGGCCCCATGAAGGAACCCGGTTTGAAAGCCTCTGCCAGAAAGGGTTCTCCAGCTTTGTTAAATCAAGGGTTTAAGGTTTGGAAAAACAGAAGAGCCAGGCACTGGAGTCAGGCAGACTTGGTGTCAGGTTCAGCTGTGCCACCGATGGGCTATTCAACCCTCAACAAGTCACTTCATTTGTCTAGGTCTGTTTTCTCATCTGAATGGGATCCATTCCTTTCCTGCAGGAGCGTTGTGAAGATTAAATGGGCTATCTGTGCAAGGTTCCTGGCCTGACTCCTAGTTTCTTAGTCATGCTCAGCAAGTGTGTGCTGATAGAGTTCTGCACCCAGGCACTCAGGGGACTGGGCTGAAATGGGCTCTGGCCAGTGAGCCTGGCTGGGCTGCGCTGGGCTGAGAGGTGTAGGGGGGCAGGACAAGTACCTGGATGGTCCCAGGTCTGAGTGGGCTGGGCAGGGCCCAGGCCAGGCTGGGGGGCCCCTCGGCGAGCCCGGCCATGGATTCGGAGGCTGGGGCTATTCTTGGTTTTGCCCTGCTCCCCAGGGAAGGGGACTGAAGGACTGGCCACAGGCTCCAAGCTCTTTGAATGCTTGAAGTGGCCAATGCCATTGGCTGACAGGCCCCAGGACTTGGCTCTGATGTTGGTGACTGGCAGCAAGGCCATCTGGCTGGAGTCTGTGGATAGAACCAGGGATAGGCTGAGAAGAGGGAACTGGCTGCCTCCTGCCCAGCTGTTTCCAGGGCCCCACTGGACTCTGGGTGACCCCTATCTGTTTCTTGGTTCCCCCAAGAGGGCCCCCAATCTTTTCCAGAGCCTTATTCTAGGCTCCAGGAGACCTTCCCACTAATGAGTCTTTGGGGTCTTCCTCTGGACTCAGGTTAAAAAAAACAACCAACCCCAACCCAGGCCCCAAAATAGCCATACCTGAGTGGTTAGTGGAGGGGCTGGGACTGGGGCTGAGACCATGGCTGGGGTTAAAGCTGGGGCCAAGACTAGGGTCAGTGGTGGGGCTTGGAGTGGGTGAAGAGCAGCAGATGACAGGGCAGGGGTGGCTGGAGCACAGGTCTAAGGTGCGGATGGCTGGTCCCGGGGCTGAGCTGGTCAGGCTGGTGGTAACTGAGGAAGCCAGGGGCTGTATGAGCCGGAGGGGGTAGCAGAGCCCCCCACCCACAACACAGCCACCTCTCCCCCTTCTCCCCAATCCCATCCCTCCACACCCACCCCAGGCACGCACCCAGCAGCAAAGAGGGCTGTGTGCCTGGCAGCCCAGTGGTCACAGGGGACTGTCGGAGCTGAGTGGTCCCAAAGCTCTGGCTGGACCTGCTGGGGAAGGGTGGGCTGAGCTCAGGAGGCTTGGAAGAGCCTGGGCAGGGAGCCTGGGAATCCCAGAGAAGCAGGAAGGGCAGGAGGAGGTGGAGGGGAAGGTGGAAAGGAGGCAGGAAGAGGGCAGCAGGAGCCAGAGGCAGGAGGGAGGGGCTTGATCCAGACACGTACCATGGACACATGGCCTCACTCCCCCCAGGGTGCTGGGGCCGGAGCAGGGCCAGAAGACAGGAAGTAGACACGGCAAAAGAGCTAAGGGACGGCAGAGAGGAAAAGGGGGAGACAGGCACAGGGGAGGAGAGAGAAGACATAGTCAGAGATGGCCCCAGAGGCCGAGGGTGACAGTGGGCAGACAGAGCCCAAGGCCCTCCTCTCCATCCACAGTCCAACCTGGACCCCTCAGATGCCCTTGACTCTCAGAGGCCCAGCTACCTGTAGGAGCACTCAGTAGGCCAGAGAGAAACACCAGCTTCTGCAGGGACTAGAAAACAGCTGCCTCCCCTCCAGGGAGACCCTCCCATCAACCCCCACAACCCCCCCATAAGCTGAGAGCCTCAGGTGGAACCCCCTTTAGAGGGGACAGCCTCCATGGCTCCTCTGACCCTGGCCTGCCCACCAAAGCCCCGCCGGACCTGGCGGCTCAGCGGGCAGTCAGGCCTCGAGAGACATACCCATCAGTTTCTACCAGGTCCTCCTCGGTGCGCAGGCTCAGCACGTACAGTGTGGACATGGACACCACGCTGGGAGCCACAAAAAAGGGCCGTGGTTAGAGCTGGAGCCATGTCCAGTGCCCTCTCTCTAGGGCAGGGCCTGGGCTCCCAGGTGATGCCTATAACCGGTCTCCCAGCCCCAGGGGGAAGGCACAGAATGAGGCAGCCCATCTCCTTCCCTAAGACCTCAGGGGCTCTCCTAGGCCAGCTCTTCCTCTCCCTCAAGCCCGGGCCCGTGGGCAGCTCAAGTCCCCTAGCCAGCCACCCCAGAGCCTGCGGGCCCAGTCACCTGAAGGCCATGACCACCACCAGGGCAATGATGGTTCCCTGCAGGAAGCGCTGGCTGATGCAGGCCTGGTCTGGGACCACAGATGATGGCTGAAGACCAAGGAGAAAAGGGAAGAAGCAGAAAGGCCCGGATTAGGGCGCCCATGGTCTTACCCATTGGGGTTTTGCTGGAGGTGGGCTCATTCCCGAGGCGGGCAGTGGGAGGGGAAGGGAAAACATGGCTGGGAGGGCTAGAGGGGCAGGGCAGGAAGGGGAGCACTCGGAGTCAGTGAACCCCGAGAGGTGCAAGCTGGGAAGGAAAGCCATGGAGGATGCCCCAACCTACCTCCCACCCCTGCTCACCCTTACCTTGCTGGCCACCTTGGGGGGCCTCTTCTTGAGGGGGACGCTGCCGGCCCGGCTGAACTGGCTCCCTGTGTGGCTGCAGCGAGAGGGTCAGGGTCAGAGGTGCCTCTGGGAAGCAGGCGCTCCCTCCCCCGCCCCGCTCCGCGCCCCCACCTGAAGGCGCCCGAGCTGCCAGTGGACTTGAGGCTGTCCAGGCGCCTCAGTTTGGCCAGCTTGTGGCTCCAGCGCTCCAGCTCATCGATGCGCGTCTCCAGGTTGTCAGTCAGCTTGCACAGCTCCTTCACGGCACCCACATTCTCCATGAAGATGCGCTCCTGATGCACGCAACAGGCCAGTGTTGAGGGCACTGTCCACACCCAGGAGCCCCAGGCTACAAGCCCGTCGGGGAGTGGGAAGGGAGCCCCTCCAAGCCTCCCTGCCCACGGCCAGCCTCTCCTCAAGCCCAGCCTCTCCTCCAGTCCCATCTAGGTCCCACAGCTCCTGTTCCTGCCTCCCAACAGCCTCCCCACCCCCACACCTTTGCTCAGGCCCTCCCGCCGGCCTGAACAGTTCTTTCCACCTCGTCAGAATGCCCTGTCTCCTAGAGGCTCACGCTCCCATCTCCTGCTCTCAGGGACAGGGTGTCTCACACTTCAGCTCTTCACTATTCAGCAGAGGCCAAAACACATTACAGGCTCCTTGGAGCCCAGCCTCAAGCCAGATAAGTTACAAACACCATCCTCACGATAAACCACGTGGTTAAGCTTTGCAATAGCCACATGAGAATGTCTCAGCGGTTCCTACTGTCACCCTCCTTCTGCAGGGGAGGACAATGACCCTCAGTAAGGATCCTCTTGCCCTTATCACGCAGCCATAGAGTGGCCAAGTGCCCACCTGCCCTTGAAGCTCACCCTTTCCCTGTGGGGTGGGTGGGCACCCTGAAGGGCATGAGAGAAGGCTGGGCTGCTCCCGCCCGTTGCGCTTCAGTGCCCAGTCTCCTTGGAGGGTGGCTGCCCTCCAGCTGCTCCCCCAACCCAGCTCCCACCAGTTTTCCCCCTCCA